AAATAAAAGATGTTTAAAAAATTGAAAATTAATAATATTTAAAAGAAGAAAGAAAGTATAATTATAAAGAGTAATAAATGTTATGATTAGATTTATTTTTATTTAAGTTTATAAATGACTATAGAAAGTTTTCATTCTAATATTTTTTAGAAATTAATAAATATGAAAAAGAAGAAGATGACATTATTTTAGAATAGACTTTAAAAATATTCTAATAATCATTATTATAAATACTTTTTTTCTTCAAATAAGCAAATCACTTTGAACTAAATAAAATAAATTCAATAAACTTTCATTTAATTAAAATTGTTAATATCATTTGTTTATTTTATTTAATTAGACACTTTTTAATTTACATATTTTCTTTTGAGAAAAGAATATTTAAGTTTTAAATACTCTTTGTTTGTTGGGTTAAATTTTTAGTTCAATACAATAAAATTGTTTCAAAAAACAAATTACTTTTGATAATTTTTTTGAAAATAAATGACAAAAATGAAGGTACAAAAACAAAGTAAAGCAAGGTATAAACAATGTTATAAATAACAAAATATTAGAATGAGTTAATTTAAATCAAAACTATAAATTTCAAAGTCTTAAATAATGTGGAGGACAGTACGTTCATTACATGAACTATCAGAAGAAAAAGAAAAAGAAATTTCAGTGTTAAGAACAAAAAGAAGAGAACAATTTTTACAAAAGAAAAGAATTGAAGATAATAATCACTTCAAAGAAGTAAATTTAGAAGATATTAATTTATTTATTAATGGAGTAAAACAAAAAAGAATTGAAAGTTATAGATGTCTTGAAAGTTTATTAGAAGATAATGAAACACCATATTGTATAATTCAAGAAAGTGGAATAATTAAATTAATAATTCAAAATCTAATGGAAGAAGATGAGACAATAATACAAAATAGTTTACAATTATTAAATGGATATATAAGTTTTCCAGAGTCAAATAAATATACAAAAGATATTATTAAACAAGGATTTTTATCAACAATACCAAACATAATAGAATTTAAATCACCAATAACAATTAAAAATCTATTTTATTTAATATGTAATATTATTTTTGATTGTAATGAAGAAGACTTTAATTATACTCAAATATTTGGAACATTTGATATTTTTCAATACATTGGAAAAGTAATTAAATTAAATTATATTTATAATTTAGTTCCTTGGATGTGTAAAAATTTATTATTAAACCAATTTGTTGATGGAGAAACAATATTAAAAGCAATTGAATTAACAACTTATTTATTACAAAAAGATGATGATATTAATATTGCAAATGATTGTATTGAAACACTTAGATTAGGATTAAAAAGACCTGAAACAAGTCATATAGCTTCAAGTGAAACAATTTGTAAAAGTGTAATTGCAAGAGTAGAAAGTGGAACAATTATAAGAAGAACTTGTTTTAAATATTTTTTTCAATTATGTTTTGAAGATTATATTCAAGTAATTGATTCAACAGGAATATTTAATATATTTTCATCTTATCTTTATTCTGAAGATGAGGAATTAGTTAAATTATTAATTGGAGCAATCGCAAATTGTGCAACAACAGAAGATCCAAATATTATGATAAAAATTTCTAAAGATTTTATTCCTTTTGCAATTAATAAAATTTTAAATGAATTCCCAAATAATCAATTTGATGATTTATCAAGACTTTTATTTAATTCTTGTATTTGGACTGAAACTCATAACTATGAACCAACAAAAAACCTTATTTTATTATATCCTAATTATATTAAAGCAATATACGTATCTTTAACTTCTTTTTATTCTGATGATAATCTTATTGCTTTGGGTCTAAGAGCTGTTTCTGATTTACTTATGAATATCACTGACTTAAATTTAATTGAACAATTCACTGACTATGGATTAGATGTTTTTGTTGATGACATTCAATATAAATCAACTTCAAAACGTGTTGTTGAAAGAGCAAATAATATCTATCAATGTTGGTTTGCAATGAGTGACAGTGAAAGTGATAATGAATATGAAAATTACTTTTATTAAATTATTTCTTTAAAATTTGATTTTAATTTATTTCTTTTTATTAATTTTGTTTTCTTATTGTTGTAATATAAGAGTTGATATTTATTAATAAAGAAATTAAGAAGTATATATTAACCATGGAAAAGGATCTACTAAACTGTGATTAAGACTAAAAGAAGATTAGTCATAATAATATAATGGGAATGAAATGCCTTCTTCTCTCTTTCATAAAATAAGTAAAAAGGAAGGAATGAGATTCTTTAAAATTAAAACAGAATATAAACAAAGGACTAAAAAGAAGGATTAAGCAGAAGAATTTTGAGAAGATTTTAATAGGAAGAAATAAAGCAAAAGAAGAATAATTTACTCATGTTCCAAGAACGACATAAATAATAAGTTAAACAAAGAAATTACTCGTTTAAAAAAAAGAAGCTCAATGATGTGATTAATATCTCCTGAAATAGGAGAATAAATGAAAAATCTATTAACATTTAATTAGCTAATTTTTGTTATATTAACTCTTATTAAAATATTTTATAAACATTTAAAAACAAGATAAATAATATAATAAATTTATAATTAATAAATAATTAATAAATAATACATATATAA